TCAAATTTTTTCCTACCTAAATTCTCTTTAAAATGTGCGTTAACTACGAAATACTTCCTATCTTCTAATACCCACTATATTACCTCTCCTAAAGTATTTTTTTCTACTCGTACAATCTATATAATTCATTCTTACATCATTACATATATGAGCATTATAAAATAATTACATCACTATATAAAGATAAACATGTAGAGGTTTACAATGTAAATTCATGATAAAGTGAAAATTTTACTCTATCCAATTACGTTATGTGAAAGGCCAGCATATCCAATACTTTTTTTATATTCAATCTTAGAGTGTATTAAACCCAGCTTGTTGCCATCCTTTTTAAAAGATCTCGCAAGCTCAATTTTCGCACACCAAACGCAAAAGCACTTAGTTGATTGGTCACCAGCTCCTCTTTCATATTTTTTTTTATTGACATTATGCACTGCAATCTGTTCATATTTTACCCAACAATGTTGATAAAAATGTTCCCAAGATCTAACAAACATGAAAATTAATACAAAGCCACAAAATTTTCTTTACATGGACCATGAGAAATAGAAAGGACATACCTTCCAATTGAAGAAATATGTAGCTAATGACCAAACAACGACGTAATAAATTTTTCAAACTAAGAAACACAAAAACAATAGCAAACATCTAGAAAAAATTCTGACTATTCATCTTCAAACATGTCATGACTTGTTAAGCAAACACAGAGAAGCAAGCGCAACTAACATATTGCTTAACATTAAAACAATATTGAGACAATCATGAAAAACACTCACACAAAATTAAGTAAGCAATTCAATAATTGAATACCTGACGCTAAAAAGNTAATTTTTAGCTGAACTTACAATAAAGTTTTGACCTGTTTGGAGGTCGATTTGAAAACTTTTTGTGAAATACACTTTTTTAACCCTGGAAGTCTAGTGTCTACTGGGGAAATTTCAGATCAAACAGACATCAAGGTAAAAAGTTATGGTCCAAATACTAATGAAGTGTCAAATTTTTTCCTACCTAAATTCTCTTTAAAATGTGCGTTAACTACGAAATACTTCCTATCTTCTAATACCCACTATATTACCTCTCCTAAAGTATTTTTTTCTACTCGTACAATCTATATAATTCATTCTTACATCATTACATATATGAGCATTATAAAATAATTACATCACTATATAAAGATAAACATGTAGAGGTTTACAATGTAAATTCATGATAAAGTGAAAATTTTACTCTATCCAATTACGTTATGTGAAAGGCCAGCATATCCAATACTTTTTTTATATTCAATCTTAGAGTGTATTAAACCCAGCTTGTTGCCATCCTTTTTAAAAGATCTCGCAAGCTCAATTTTCGCACACCAAACGCAAAAGCACTTAGTTGATTGGTCACCAGCTCCTCTTTCATATTTTTTTTTATTGACATTATGCACTGCAATCTGTTCATATTTTACCCAACAATGTTGATAAAAATGTTCCCAAGATCTAACAAACATGAAAATTAATACAAAGCCACAAAATTTTCTTTACATGGACCATGAGAAATAGAAAGGACATACCTTCCAATTGAAGAAATATGTAGCTAATGACCAAACAACGACGTAATAAATTTTTCAAACTAAGAAACACAAAAACAATAGCAAACATCTAGAAAAAATTCTGACTATTCATCTTCAAACATGTCATGACTTGTTAAGCAAACACAGAGAAGCGTAACTAACATATTGCTTAACATTAAAACAATATTGAGACAATCATGAAAAACACTCACACAAAATTAAGTAAGCAATTCAATAATTGAATACCTGACGCTAAAAAGAAATGATGATGCAGTCCCATCAACCAAAAAAATAAAAATACCCCAAGTTGGAAGATTTTAACACAATCTCATTATTCTTCAAGTAATTAGCAATTGTACAACCTCTATTTGCTTCTACTATCTACCACAGCTCCGTTATGATGAAAGTTAACAATCAAGACTCTTAAATGGGAGCCCGAGTGAGTCAATGATGAAAGTTATCCATTCATCTCTTTCATTAAAGCACTGAATGATTTGGAAATAGTGATGTAACATGCCCATCAATGCCCATTCCAAGAAGGATGAGATCAAACTTGGGACTATCAATGCTATCTGAGACATTAATTATGCTAAGCGGACCAAGGTTTTTATCTGTTAGCCAAGTGCACCTATTATAGTGCCTCTATTGCAGACATATGCCTTATTGACCAACTGAAGAGCAAGTAGGATGTTTAAAGAAGAAAATGAATAGAGATGGGTAATAATGGATTGTTGGGACTTTCCCCAAGTCACAAAAGAGTTTGGTTTTAGAGTTGTTTCTTTGTCTTCTTTGCTACTTTTCGGTTGTTGAGGAAGATGAAGTGAATAGAAGAATGTTTAAAGAGGTTAATGAATAGAGGCAGATAAGAATGTGATGTGAATATTATTGGATGCGCAGATGATTGGATATATTATTAATGTTGTTAATTATAATCATCATTACTCAAAAAAGAAGAAGATAGTATTGGCATTAATTGTCCTATTAAGACAATAATAATCAATCAATTTTTTCTATGAATGCAAATTAGTATGTAAATAATAAAACTACTATTAATATATTAAATCCAACAAAGCAAAGGAATGACAAAAGTTGGTATATAGAGAAGACTATGAGATTGACAATTAATATAGTTTATGTATGTAATTAAATCAATATTTGAAGAAGAGCAAAAGACAAAAGATTTTATGAACTTCATAAAAGTTAGGATTTAATAATGTTATTAACTACAAAAAGATATGATTGACATTAATTATTTTGTTAAGATTATTTTGGTCAAACAAAAGTTTTTCACTTTTGTTGATATTTCATACTAGTATAGATATAGATATACAAGGTGAGAGTAAATTTGGTGATTTATAAGAGATATGCCATCACATAATATATATTTCTCATTGTTAGTAACGACGTAGACAATAAAAGTAGTTAGTAAAATATAAATATGAACTACAAAGGTGTGGAATAATATTTCAAAAACTAGATGAGATTCTAGTGAAATATGACTATAATGCGCCAATTTCACATTTAAAGACATTAACTAATTATATTAACACACATATATACGTTACCAAATTAAATCTAAAATTAAAATTTTTTGATTTTAATTATTTTTAAAATGAGATAATTAAAATTGTTTAATTTTAGTTATCAAATTTCAAAAGTTTTCCAAAAATTTTAAAACATATCCCTAAACAATGGAGAGGATTTATTATGGGTTTTAATTTTTCTAAATTTTAGGTTTTTGTTTTATATATATATATATAAAACTGTGTGTGTGTGTGGAAATTTTTTCCAAATTTTTTTTGAAAACTTATTTATAATAAAAGGGTATTTAAGTCTTTCTATGGTAGACTTTTTTACAAAATATTTTTCCTATGTTTTTTTTGACAATTAAGTCAAATTTCGTATACCGACTTCCAAAGGTTCCATAAAAAATTAATTTTATAAAAATTAAGCCCAACAAAAAAAATAATGTTAGATTTAAATTGGATAGTTTGGACCTATTTATCCAGCCCATAACACCAAAAAAATCATAATTGTTTTTTAAAAAAGTAACAATAAAAAAGTGAATTCTATAACATTTTCTCCCAACCACTATTCTCTCTCACTCTCCTCTCTCTGTGCACGGTACAATAATTTGGAAGACCAACAAATTTCCATTTCTACTTTATATCTCTCTCTCTCTCTAGTTAACAAGGGCAGCTACTCTGCTTTTATTTTTGTTTTTATTTATTTATTTTGTTGGTTTGCCTTTGTTAGTTTACTTGTTATTTTTATACACCATAAAATTCACAAAGTCTAATTCTCTATTAGTATTATCATTTTAAGATTGGGCAGTGGTATCTTAAAAAGTGAGAGGAATAAATTTTAAATAACATTTATTTTTATAAAAAAAAAACCTCTTTTTTAGTTTGAAAATATCACGAGCTACCCCTAATGTTAGGGTTAATGTTAATTCTAAAATAGTGTCATTGTCCCAACCCTCTTGCTGCATCGTTTGTCGTTAAACTTTCAACACTTTTCAAGAGCCTCACTTTGTCACTTATCCCTTCAAGTAGTAGAATGGTCATGCGAGAGCTCCATTCTGTTTTATATTGCAATATTGAAATATTGGGTAAATATTATACATTAGCTCTTAAACTTTATTTTTCAATGCCTCAATTTAACTTTTTAACTATTAATTTCGTATCAATAAAGTTCTTTCATCCATTTCACCAATTAGACTAAATGGATGCATACGATGTGAATAGTCATATGACAAACACAAGAATCTACCTTGGTTTACTCTACTTTTAAAATAGACGGAAGGATTTCATTGACATGAAATTGTAGTTTCATAACTAAATTAAGATAATTAAAAGTTCAATGAACATTTTTAAAATAAGAGACAAAGTTTAAGAACTAATTGTCATGTTTACCCTAAAATAATTTAATCCTCTAACAATTATCACTGACAATTTATAAATTGTTTAAAAGACACAATTCTCGACAATAATAGCCCAAGATTGTGAAACTATACAAGAGCAAAAAAGGGTCAATAGAAAAAGGTAATGTTATTTGAATATAATTTGTTGACTTAATTTATTAACATGATCAACCACAAATTTTTAGATTGACAGTACACCCTTAAGATCTGTTAACAATTCAATGGTTACGATAAATTGAGTCATCAAATTATATTAATATGTTATGTCCAAATACTATTATTGGAAAAAAAAAATGTTCAAGTAATCTTTTACCACAAAAATCTATTTTTTTGTTTAAAATAAATAAGGGCAACTTAATCAAGTAAAATAATATATAAATAACTTTTATGTTTTTCAAGCTAAAAACTATATTTTTCTATTGGAAATATTGTGTATCTCAAATTAGAAATTTTAAATGATTATCGACCCTTGAATGAGTCCTGTTGAAAAAAAATTAACGGACTAACTGATTCGAGTTCATTATTTTGTTTGGGATCCCGATACCTATAGCTTTGCACTTTTCCAAAATTTTGTCCTGCGAGAAAATATGTTTTTTTTTGGGCACATCATTTTACATCCTTATTTTCTGTCTATCCAAACAGGCCCTTGGGCACTGGGTTNGTCCTGCGAGAAAATATGTTTTTTTTTGGGCACATCATTTTACATCCTTATTTTCTGTCTATCCAAACAGGCCCTTGGGCACTGGGTTGGACTAGTTTTTTTCCAGGGAAACAAACGGCGTTCTGTTATCATACGCGAATGCAAAATGTCGTCCGTGCGAGGGGTACCGGTGAGTCAAACCCGAGTCCGGACGAGACTAAAGGAGCCTGAGGAAATACGACGTCGTAGAGCACTGAAAAGAGTGGACAGAGAGCTTTCAAAGAGCAACTTCAGGGCGGCGCTCTCTCTGGTCAAGCAGTTGCAAGGTAAGCCCGGTGGTCTCCGTGGCTTTGGTGCCGCTAAACAGGTACTTTCTCTTTTCTAGGTTCTGTTTGGTTACCGAGAAAAATAAAAAATAAAAAAATATTTATAAATCCACTTCTAGGTTGATGGTCGCGGTTGTACAATTAATATTGGCGGAAAGTGTTTCCAGACTACAGAAGGATAGAACTAGAAAAACGGCTTGGAAGGGCAGGTTGCCCAGTTTAAATACACACGTTGAGCTCATACTTACAGGTTAATTGTTGGCCTAGGTTCCAACCTTGTCGTTCTCAATAGTGCCTGGTAAAAGGAATATTGGAACATTGGTTGTGTTTAAAATACTGTGTGATAGTTTTACAACTGAAGATATTTGCTTGGATGAGTTTGAAGACAAAAGAATATTAAAAAAGTGTGATTTTTGAAAAAAATTAGATTATAAATATAGCTTATATCAAAAGTAATATGTTGACTTATCGTGCGAAACTATTATTTGNAAAGTGTGATTTTTGAAAAAAATTAGATTATAAATATAGCTTATATCAAAAGTAATATGTTGACTTATCGTGCGAAACTATTATTTGTGAGGATAATTTATTTTCAAGTAATTACATGATACTATAACATGAGATTATGACACTGTGACAAACTAATTTTTAAGATAGTAAGAACTGATTTTTGGATTTTATGACCCAAATTAATTTTTACAATTGTTTTGTATAAAAGTTAATTTTGACAGATTTTGTNTGTGAGGATAATTTATTTTCAAGTAATTACATGATACTATAACATGAGATTATGACTCTGTGACAAACTAATTTTTAAGATAGTAAGAACTGATTTTTGGATTTTATGACCCAAATTAATTTTTACAATTTTTTTTGTATAAAAGTTAATTTTGACAGATTTTGTATAGTTGTTTATCTAGTTAATTAAAATTTTATCTATGCTATTGTTTGCCCCCCTTGGGATAGAATTTTAGTTCCTTCCCTGAGTTCTAGTGTAATTGTTGGTCCCCAATTACTGTCATAATTTATTGTTTTTGAAGGTGCCTATTTTTTTTTTTTTCCTTTTGTGGAGGTGTCTCAAAGAATTTCATCCTTGGATGAATTAGACCTCGGTGGAATGGATACATCATCTCTCAGATCATTAGTTGATTCAGTTCTGGATTCCATTAGGCGTAGCATTCAGTTTCCGTTAACCGGTGAGGTATATTGGTTCATTTGAATTTACACTCATATACAAACCCGTATCTTTCACTTCAATTTGATTCAATATGATGCTATGAGTTTATCTGATTGAGTTATAAGTTTAAACTAATGTTTAAGCGCCTAAGTTATGAAACCCGAGAAAGGAGGATAAAAGGAACAAGGTGGTGTAATTATTGAAATGAGTCATCAGACCAATTTCCAAAGGATACCAATTATTAATGATATTTTCTAGACGAATGATGTTATTAAGCATTTGTTAAGCTTGTCTTACTAATTGGGCTGTGGGGAGTACTAGACTGAATATTGACATTACCTCTGGCTTATGTGATACAAAATGCAATGCACTAGTCAACGACTCATTCAAAGTCCATTGTGAACAATGGGATCATTTAATTTTGNCTGGCTTATGTGATACAAAATGCAATGCACTAGTCAACGACTCATTCAAAGTCCAGTGTGAACAATGGGATCATTTAATTTTGAAGTCCAAGTTTTTACAGACGGATACAAGGGCTGGGATAGGGTTGACTTTGTTATTTTGCATTCTCTCTTTTGGTGTTGTGAAAAGCTCGCCTAGGCGAGTGCCTAAGCAAGGCGAGGGTCTCTCACCTTGAGCACTCTAGGTAAAGCGAATGTGATTGAAGCGAGGAAAAAGCGAGAAAAGCGAATGCCTTGCGCTTAAGCGAAAGGCAAGAAAAGTGACGTTTTTGTTAAATTTTTTAAGTGGCTTTATTTTTATTTTGGACCGTTGGATTGGGGGAATTGGAATAAAATTGTGAGATGCCAATATACCCAATTGCACCTTATCCTAATATATCTAACACTCAAACCCTAAATTTGCTTAAACAAGAATGGAGCAACTGCTGAAGAAGTCCCAACTCCCGACAGGTTTGCCTTCCCTCTTCTTCTTCTCTATTGTTACTTCTGTTTTTTTCTCTCCTTCTCTTATTTTCTTCTTCTTTCACTTTTTTTAATTCTTCTTCTTCGACAAAAAACATTGCCCAGTACCAGCACCTCCTGCTCCTGTTGGTACTTTTGCTTCTTCTTCTCTGCTTCTGTTTTATTTTGGCTCTTTTTCTGTGTTTGTGTTTTTGTGCTACTTTTTTATTTTGGCCGGGATTCTTCTTCTCAATTTATGTTGATTCTATTTATGGCTTCTGTTTCTGCTAATCGGCTTATTATGTTTCTATTTTTGTATTGCTTATGCTGATTTTGTTTGTAATTCTTCTTATTTTTATGGCTTCTGATTCTACTTTTGCTTCTGCATCTTTGTAGTGCTTCTCTATTTTTGTATTGCTTATGTTGTCATTAAGATATGAGATATTATTAGTGGTTATTTGAATTTAAATGTTTATGGTTTTTCTTGCATTTAAATATTTAGTATTAGAATTTGTAAAATTAGAACTTGGATATTTAGAAGTAATTAAACTAAAATATTTGTTTTTTTTTTTACTATTGGCTTCGCATCGATGAAGCGTTTCATTTCGCCTCTCGCTTCTCGCCTAGGCTTCAGGAGCCTTGGTTGCTTCGGTTCTTTTTACGTCTTAAATAATACAGCTCTCTTTACTTGATCAGCATCTCTGTCTAGACAACTCACTGGTGAGGATTGTTGATCACAGCTACTTCTGAGCCATAGAGATTACGACGCCCCCTTTCAACCAAGACAATAAGAGGTTTCTGGTCCATAGTACTTATCACTTTGACTATATGTCTGGATATGATTTTCACAGATGATATTTCATTCCAAACATATGGCTTAGAGTCATTTAGCTCTCCATTTTGTTCCCAATCTTCAAGAGAGATGAATAGATGCTTATCAGAAGTAATACTTTTTGTGTGATGATTGGTTCTTGGAGGTATGGAGTACAAGGGGCCATACTGGTGTAAAACAGAGATGATAGAGCCTAGAGTCCAGCCAAGCTTTTATTCTTTTTTGGTTCCCAATGGCTTTCTATCGCATCCTATCAGTTTCATTATACTTCACGCCCACAGGGAGAGAGTTATAAGATATGTAGAGAACTTGTTGGGAGGCTGGTTGCTCTGCTATATACATGCTAACGGGGAAGTATGTTTCTTATTGTGGTTCACCTTCATATTTTTCGTGGTTTACATCATGGGAGTTATAGCAGTCCTAGCAAATTTGTTCAGTGTCTCAGAGTTGTAATTTTCGTATCAATGATTCTGGCAAGCCCTTGTAGAAAATAAAAAAGTCAAATAGAATGATGACACGGGAAACTGCTGAAACAACAATGAAAAAAATTTGCCATACTCCTTCCCAATCCATGGTATATATGAAACATCATGTCAAAATAGACCAGCTGTGTAATCAATGTTAGTGACCACCAAACCAATAGAACAACAGTTAGCTTTGCAGGTGGTACAAGCCCTTATTCCCTAAGTTGAACGTCCTTCATATTTGCACCAATTTCGACATACCTTTCTGAAAAACTCTCTCTAGGTTGAAGAATGAGTTGGATAGTCTGAAATTGCAACCAGAAAGATTAGTAAAGCTCATGTTCTATTAAGGTTAGAATTTCATTTGAGGGGAGTACTTAAAGATAATGTAGGACCTGCTCCATGTGTTAATGTCAGAGCAGCTTTCTCAGATTAAGGAAGTAAGATGAGTGAGTTTGGCATGCAGAATTATAATTAAAGATGCATATCTGATTATTTAAGGACAATAAAAAACCACATCGCCAGAAATCGAGAAAACAGAGGTGAGTTCAAATTTTCTATTTTCTGGAACTAAAGCACTGAAAAAATTAAGTTGGTGTTGGGAGGCAAGTAAAGTCTAGATGATTAGAGTGTCTATACATAGAGATGCAACTTGATCTGACTTGTGTGCCTATTTGTAAATTGCTTTTACATGCAGTATGGATATCACATTGCATTAAATGTCATACTCACAATTGAAGGTTGAAGCATTCTTTGTGGAAAGTGGAAATGTTTAAGCCTTTCTGGGGTATGTCAGGTGGTAGATTTATGACCGTTTGACCATGCTCTGTTTATAATTAATTATCTGCACTTGATGAAGAAGTATGCATTAACTATTATTTTGGCGGTTTTAATCCTTTAGTTCATGGATTGTTTTTTCACGCCCAGATTTTCCATCTCTTTCCTGTGTTTTGTTGCTTGATTGATTTCTTAAAGATGTCCCTGTCATTACATGCCTTGTGTTAATTTTAATTCTTAAATGGTAATTTTTGGTGCTTTAAGACAATGCATCTATGTTATTCAGGCAATGTGATTATTTTGCTGATTTCCACAGGGATGTTTTACATGCCCTTTTACTTGCTGCTTTTTGGTTGCATATTGATTTATTTAATCAAATGACTTGTTACTGGATTGTTTTGTAGGTCTCATCATTAGGACTTGAGACTTTTATGGAAGGTGAAAACTATGATTGTCCTTGCGAAGATCATCTAAGATGTATGCAAGTAAGACGTCCCTTTGCTTCCTCATCTCTTGATTAAAGAGGGATTCAAAATGCACACACTCTCCACTCTTTCAATGTGGTATATTAAACAGGCCATGCTTGCTGCTGACAAGGTTAAGTCTCTTCCATAAACTTTTTTTAATACCTAAGTGATACGGTGATACAAAGAAGCTTTTCCTGAAAACTAGTGCAGCTTGATGGCAATATTGGCCTCCAAATAGAACCAATTCAATGGTAACAATACTAACCTTTTGAACATACTGTGCAACCGTATTGGCAAGGTAGAACTTATCATGGAAGTTTGGAGAGAAGTGAAAACCATGTTATTCTGGCATGACTATACATAACTGGCAGCCTAAAACTTGTGCATGGCCACAAGTACTGAAAAAAATTCTTTGAGCGTTCTGTGTCAGATATTCTATTAGGTGCTGGGACAGTTATCAATTTTGCTATAAAAATAGCAATGTAATTTTTCTTTCCTTTTGAGCAAAGCAATTGATCAGAGCCTTCTAATTGTCAATAATGTAGGGGTCTTCATATCTACAAAATTTCCTTTTAGGAAATAGCTTTGAAATTTGAACAACTCTCTTCACATTTCAGATGTTCTACCTGGCTACTCCTTGTGTCAGCGACTAAAAATACTAATACTATGTTCAGCTAATAATTAGTTGGCGGCTTATGTGGACAAACAAATGATAGGATCTTGTCTGCATTGAGATGCATGATTTTGGCAAAATGTAATATAAAAGAACTTTTTTCTTTTAATAGTTAAACTTTAGTAATATAAATAAAGCATTGGTAAGGATCTGAGCTCTGAAGATAGAATTTGGAATGGGTCTAAGAGTAATAGAAACTAGAAATGTGTAAAAGAGCTGAGGTGGTATCAACTAGTAATGAAATTAGGGGTCTTTCATTCAGTTTGAATATGGAAGAAAAATCATGATTGACGAAGGTGTAGAAGTGCACTAATTATGTATCTGTACAGAGGATGGGAAAGCCAGCCTTATGCTTTCATAAGAAAGTAATAAGTATCACATGCTTTGCTGAACAGCTGAAGAAAGGGATTTTGTTGATTTGCCAGATTTAGGTTACTGATCTGGTTTTGTTGGGATAGGACATTGTGAACAATGTTTTATGCTGTTGTAAAGTTTGTGGTCCTCACTGCTCAGAGATGATACTCAAGATTTCTGTAGTGTTTTTGTTTATCTTTGATAATTTCCATATTGTTACAATCTGTCTAGAAGCCAGGCATTACCCGCTAAACATTCACTTACATACACTCTTTCTCTCTCCCTCTCTCCCTCTCTCTCTAAGTAACACCTGATCCTGTTTGTTGGATGCAAAACTGCTAATATGATTTTTCTGCTGAATGGCAAACAATAGATGGAATATCCGAGTTCAAGTTCCTGCAAATAACTTTCTGCCCTAATGTATTGCATTGCTTCCATTATTTCCTCTTCTTATCCCTTCCATCAATGTAAACGTTATGCTCAGGATTATTATGGTGTCTATCTTGGTTTCACACACTTCTTCGCTATTTTTGAAACTACATTATTATAGGCTTACTATGAAACAACTTATCAGCTTTCTGGTTTATAAGTTTTGACATTGATGGCAACTAGATTTTAAGAACTTCAGTATTGCACTAACTTCTTGATGGGGAGTGAGCTTGGTATATATAAACAATTACTTCTACATTAGTATTGCAGACAGTTTTCTCATGCTTGATAGATATATATATATATATATATATGGCTAATTTCTTCCTGGTCTAATCTCTCGGTGTCATCAACCTGCAGTACATATCTGGCTGCTCAGAAAACTATTTTTGCTTCAGTACTCTACATTGAATATGTAGTAGTGAATAGGCTGGATTTGGCTGTGCAAGTGCAACCCAATATTGTTGGAACATATGTTGATTGGTACACTAGGCTCATTCCCCTTTGATTATGTTCAATATTAAGCAATACTGTGAAACATTAAGCCTTCATCATGGTCAACTTCACAATTCGGATAGGGAGAAACCTTACACAGCCAAATTCTAAATGCATGTATTGAATCCACTGCTCTTCTAGTGTTCAATTGTGTGCAATTTGCAGCATCAAATTTCTTCATGATGATACACTTTAACAACTGAAGGTATTTTTATGCAGCACGAAGCCGGTCATTTTCTAGTTGGCTACTTGCTTGGGGTATTACCAAAAAGATATAGAGTACCTAGCATGGAGGGTCTGAGGCAAGAAGAATTTGCTGGAGGAAAGGTGGAGTTTCTCGGTTTTGAGTTTCTTAGTGAAGTAAGTTCACTCTTTGCATCGACTTTGCTTACTACCTGCCCACAAGAAGTTGAGGCAGTTAGGTAGTTAAAATCCTTGGTAATTTTCTATGAGATAGATAGGCTTGTTTATATTTTGGTTTGTTGGACGCTATGTGGGCAACCTTTCAAAAGCTTCAGCCCAAACTTAAGTCATCGTGTGTAGTGCACAAGGTTCCCGCCTATGGCGGGATCTGGGAGAGATAAGTGCTAGATAGCCTTACCCTCATTTTTAGAGAGGCAAAGTCCCAGACTCGAATCCGCAACATCTCACTTAGATGGATGAGCACTTGTCATCGCTCCATGTAAGTCTGAATGTACATTCACTTGGTCAGCACACCTTGTTGTTGGAAAACCAAGCGTTGGTTTTGGTTTGCAGTTCCCTTGATTTCTTTTATACTCATATACCAGGAAATTAATATATGATTACAGGTTTCAAACTACATGTAAATGCCATTTCAAAACTTTCCCTGGGTTACTCAGTTCTTCATGTACAGCCTACCATTTCTTCCCTTAACTTACTTGAGGTATATCTCTTACTGGTTTTGATGAGGTAAGAAGCTAGTAGCTAACCCGCATTCTTCTCAACTTATGAATTATATGACGTGCTTGACAAATTCAGCGACGTATAAAAGCAGGATAGAATGCTTGAAGTTTACGTGTTAGATGTGGAATTTTAGTGTATCTGATGGTGGCCTGTGATGTAGAGCAATTTACGTGATAGAAATCTTTTACATAAAATTAATCTGAGACTCAAGGGTGGGACTTCATTGTTTGTGCCATGTTCTGTTTCGAAAATGGGCCTACTTGGGTTCACCTTGATAGGTGGACAAAATCAAAGTATCTCTAGGGTCTAGACCGTTCGAGAGCTGCTTTATCTTGCTTTTATATATTGCTTTTCCCAATGCCTAGTTACATATTTTTTTCCAATTGTGTGCAGCTTGATACTGCAACTACTTTATATAAAGACTTCACCAAAGGAAAACTAAGTGACGTGGTGAGATTATTATTATTTTTCTTCTGTTTCATGATCCAGGATCTCAATTTTGATTTATTTCCACCAAAGTGACCATAATGTTTCGGTGAAACCGCATTAAATAATTGACGGAAATTAAAAATCCAAAGTTGTTGAATGTTTCATGATGTTTTGTTCGGCCAATGTTTTGGAATCAGAACTCCAATTTTTTTTTATAACTTTTCATTCTGTTTTGAAACATTTTCGATTGCTTTGCAAATATTTTTGGTTCAGAGCTAACCCAAACTATGAACCGAAATGCAATTGTGATCATTGATCTAAGCAAAAGTCATAAACTGTAAATTTGCTTGAACTCGATTCTTTCTTACCTACTACATGGTTCCACCTTGTTATAGCTTGATGTGGATCGTTATTTTATTCATGGTTCAAGGTCACGGTATCGACCATCGACTCGGAGAGCTCTGAAACACATCGGTTCCGGCGTCGCGACACGTTATCGGGTGATACGACCTAAAAGAAAATGTTGAACATGACGAGAGATTTAGGTCATACCTCGGCGTCGCGGAATTGTATTGGCCGATTCGGTGACGATAACTCAGCAACTCGGGTACAACTCGGCCGAGTCATGCGAGTAATGATATTGTCTTGGAAGGTGCCGAGTCGGATAAGACTCGGCTGACTCGTATCGGTATTGGCCGATACTTTGAACCATGCTTTTATTATCATGTCTGACATAATATGTTAGTCAATCAACTGTAGTAAAGTGTGATAGTAATCCTATTCTAAAAAATAACAAATGGAGTCTGTAGTGTCTCACTCTGATATTTCTCACAAAATTGGATCTTTGGAGGAAAAGGTTTACTTGTATCTCCGGACAAGTATTTGGAAATTGGAGAGAACTTCATCCAACACCTAGAATTTATACCTACGCAGCTAATGAGGTGATTTTCTTCTGAAGAGTTCTATTTCTACACAAAAGACGAAAATTTTCCAAGCTGAATTGGTTATTCTTTTCAGAAAGAAATAAGCTTCCTGCAATGGAGTCATCATGTTTGCCAAGTAACCACATTAACTGGATTTTGACATTTGATATCACCTAAAAAGATGGTGAACTTTGAAATGAATATAAGGTACCCGATCATGGATTCATTACTAAACTCTGGTGGTGGCTTCTATTTTTTTTCTTCTTTTTTTTTGTTGCTTTTACAGTTTTACTCTTCTTCTTGTTGCTCACTAGTTATTGAACCCTCTTATTCGGCATTTCCAAAAATAAATTTACTTTGTTGTTCTAACCCCGTTATTAGCTTCTGACATAAACATTCCTATGCTTGCAGGCCATTAAAAGGAAAATTTCATTCACGGTTAGATATCTTGTTCTTTTGTTAATCCTTTTTACTTACCTGACAATCATGGTAAGTACTTATATATTTAGTGTCAAGTTTTGAGGACTGACATTATAATGGAATATAGGGGAACACGACTAATCATCTCGAATTATGGGTTAGAAATTATGACCAACTTGATATTCATTATCTGAAGAATCCTACTGAAATGGAAATTTAATCTTTATTAGGACCATGGCTGCTTTGTAAATGACAAACTTGAAACATAAGAATAGAAAGACAAAAGGGTGGAGTTAGGTGGGGAGTTGAACTTTACGGGAATATACAGAGTGTTTCACCACCCAATTTTCATATGGTTCAAATCAACTGAATGTGTGGCTCCGATTATGGGGGAGTTATGTCATCAGGTTTGAGCCGTTGCTTATGGGGGACTTATGTCATCATGTCTTACGTACTACCAGCTTCCAGCTTGAGAAATGTTTTGTTCTGTATATTCGTTCCATTTCTTATTCCAGTAAAGTCCGTGTTCATTAAAAAATATGGAAGATTCAATTGAAAACTAGTGGTCCTTGCTTCAAGTGCAACTCTTGGTTTGTCAAGTTATTTTTTTTTTAATAATTCAAAAAAACATCAATAAAATGGATCAGAGAACGAGGGAAGTGTCATGAAAGAGTTTAACTTGGGTTTATTATGAAAAAGTCTTATAGAACTTTTTAAACTGTTGTTGCACTTGTTTTATTGCACTTTATGTCAAATTTTTTTGACCTTCAAGTTTTTATGTCCTTTTTATGATGAGTGTCGTGTGTTTCTTAAAGAATAGTTCATCTAAGTATGCAAGTTGTCTAGGAAAACCTATGCATACATATATAGAGGCTATAGCTGCAAATTGCCTTTGTGATGATTTGGGGTTTCGTTTTGTAAACAGGTTTTAAAGAGGTTTTTATGTGTTATACTTGGAGGGTTGGTAGCAGAGCATCTGGTTTTTGGATACTCTGAAGGACATTACTCTGATGTTGAGAAGGTCAGTTCATGCCTCTTATCGTGTGTTTTTGCACTGAATTCTGTAATTCAGATCGCTAACAGCTGATTTAGAAAGCAGTTGGACAGTGTTCTTAAATGGGTGGGATTCTCAGAGAATGAAGCTGACTTACAAGTAAGATGGGCTGCACTGAATACAGTCCTGATATTAGTTCGTCATCATGAAGCTAGATCAAGACTAGCAGAAGCCATGGCATTAGGAAGGTCGGTTGGCTTTTGCATTGATACAATAGAAAGTACTTTACATGGTAAAGACATTTAGAGTTAGAGACCTTTGCTATCCGAGAAGTATAAGGCCCTCTGAGGCATGAGTTGTTGAAACCTTGGCTGTGGAGAGTCTGCACTTTTGGTTAATGAGTGGAGAACTACCACAAATTGTAGTAGGGTGTACTGCATTAGCAGTGGTGGAAGCTTTGAAGCAAGGTGATATTGTATGACTTTGCTATGATGTCCTTCCAACCTCGATTCACGTAGAACATCGCGCCATCATATGAACATCGTATATAGGAGAAATATGAGGTCCAAACTAAGAAGTGCTGCACCCCCTTGAAATGGGTGTGTAAATCACACCTCCTTCTGTGATTGCCAAAGCTCCGGGTGAACCCAAAATAGGTCATGGACTTGGATCTACCAAATGATAAGAATACCTCTGAGCTTCAATCATAAACCTCTTTGCTTCGGTTGTATGTAAACCCCCCTACACCCCCACTCTCTAAAGTGGTAAAGAATGACTCTTTTGGGGTTTCACTTTCTTTCTATTTGATAGGACAAACAAATAGGAAATGATGGTTTTTTCATTGCATTGATAGAAGTCTAACTAGAAAAAGATGTTTCTATTATTGTTATTGGCAGAAGTACTAAATCCATGCAGATTCTGCTATAATATATGGGACGTTCATGTGATCGATCTGCATGGTGTGGCAGAGAAGTTCTCATGACTGAATCAACTTGTTGGAGACAAGAATTCCATCGGTGGGTAATATTCAGTGGCCATTAAATATTTTGAAAACCTTATTGTCCAGAAAGTCACAAAGAAAGAATACTTTTGCAATTCTAAAATCATTTTGGTCAGGATATGACATTCACGAGGAATCCCAAAAACATAAGGAAAAAATTATACTCCTATATTTCTGTGGTCAATACAGGGTATTTCTTGAAAGGTGAAACTATAAATACTTGGGTTATCCACTAAAGAAATTTTGAGTAATAAAATCTTTTCTGTATGCAAAGTAAAATTGCATGGATCTAACTCTTTCAATACCCATAAGGAAACATCATGCACTAAAAAACACATTGTGCATTGCATGTAAACCAAGGCCCAAAAGCACCAACAGTGGCCACCCATGAGTAAAAAAACCAGGAACTCAGGGTCCTCTCTACACAGAAGCGTAAAACTTAATTCTCCCAATCAACCGAATGAAGAGTAGATAGGTTCAATAGAGGGAGATGGATAATCTCATCTGACCTAAATGAGTATACAATCAACTCTAAAGAGGTACAATGAGGTTAGATTAAAAAAACCATATATTTTGAGTCTATGAAACAATAGCAAAGAATAAGACTAGACCTAGACATGACATACATACACGACTATGTTATGGATTCTATATTAGATGGTACTTATGGGAAGTGCTTAATTCAATAAATGGAGTACATACATCTTTCTGCACTTCAGAATCATCATTAACCATACAGATCAAAATTCCAACATTTTTTTCAATGTTAATTACAATAATAATCAAACTCTCGCACCAAACAATAGCATTTTCTCACCTAGACAAATTACAAATTTCCAAGGGCAACTAATTTGGAAAATGGTATCCACACAGCAAACAAAACTGACACTAAACATCAAAAATAAACCAAACCAAAAAGGGTAAACTGCCACACGCGAAGTGTATAAACTAATGAAGCAACCATTGTTATCAGCATCTTTGTAGTTACCATCATTGGGCTTAGTATTCTTTAATTTCACCATTGGGTCCCTCTTTCTTTTTGAACAGAGGGCAAGGTCCCTCTAAAGAAGCACAACTGGAGCCAACAAGCAGTTCAAATTTTTTCAAACTGGCACACAGAAGCATGCTATTCTTGGAGCAATTTCAGACACAAAAATGGCTAATCTCAGCATCAAACAGGCTAAGCTGAATCTAATGCAAATCAATACAATTTATCCAAAAAGTAATTCTGCCATTTCATTCAAAACAGTTATATATTACACAAACATGTTCTTGGTGTAGAGAGAGCAACCAGTACAGTCCTAGTAGGAAGTCCTAAAACTCTTGAGAGGCCGAACCAATATCACCCTTGCCTTTGCCAACCTTCTTGGGCAAGAGATTCTGGTGAATATTAGGCAAAACACCTCCATTGGCAATGGTGACAGAGCCCAAAAGCCTGCTAAGCTCCTCATCATTCCTCACTGCAAGCTGAATGTGCCTTGGCACTATGCGATTCTTCTTGTTGTCCCTTGCTGCATTCCCAGCCAACTCCAATACCTGTATTCAATAATCACCATCATCAAATCACAAGCTCAAAAACTCACACATAAGACACCTCATTTCTATGCATCCAGTTCCATATATCTCCATAGATGAAAAAAATATAATCCATTCCCATATGCATACAACATCAAAATAATAAAATGAAACAAATCACCAAATATTACCTTAACATTTGAGTGCAAGAATGTAACACAAAGCATTTAGATCAAACTAAGCACTACATATGTTCATCCATATACTTGGTCCAATCCAAGGAATCATATATGCTAAAACCAATACAGATTCATTTAGATGTCAAACAGAATGAAATTTCAACATACATCTATTAAGACCAACTCATATTAATGGAGATTTATGGATGTAGTGGTTAAATGACAACACAAACAAGGATCACATGCAAACATAGCTCGATAGTGATAAATGAATTGTATCTCAATTTGTTTGGCACCCAAACTCCCCTAGTAATTGATAAATACAAATCATATTCAGACCAAATCAAACAGATGTCCCAATATTACAAAAACAATTAACACCATTACAATTCACAATTATGAAACTTCAGATAGAAAAACAAGCTTAAAATATCATCGAAAAAACTGAAATACACACATTGAGAGCATCACAAATGAACACAATTAGCAAGCGATAGCAACCAAGTAGAACCAAACCCCAAGAAAAAATAATATCTTTTTAAATAGTGAACACATTAGCAAGCAATTGCAACCAACTACAACCGAATCCCAANAAACCAAACCCCAAGAAAAAATAATATTTTTTTTAAATAGTGAACACATTAGCAAGCAATTGCAACCAACTACAACCGAATCCCAAGAAAAAAAAACCTTTGAAAAAAATTAACAAATTTGCAAGCGATTACAACCAAATGTAACATGAAAATGTGATGAAATCAGAAAACAATACGATAAAAACATAAATAAATCCATCACCATTCACTAATATGAAACTTAAGACAGAAAAATCTTAAAAGCTCAAAAGTTTATCTAAAAATTGAAATTGAAGCATGGAGAGCTTCAAACGTCTCCAACAAAATGAACCCGTCTCCAAAAACAACAATTTAGCAAAATATTACAATCAACCATAACAATCCCCAATTCTCATTGACGAGCGCGCACACANCGTCTCCAACAAAATGAACCCGTCTCCAAAAACAACAAATTAACAAAATATTACAATCAACCATAACAATCCCCAATTCTCATTGACGAGCGCGCACACATATCGGAATGAAAACAAGAAAATGGGAAGTAATATATACCTCAGCAGCGAGGTATTCAAGGACGGCAGAGAGGTAAACCGGAGCTCCGGCACCGACACGCTCGGCATACTTGCCAGCCTTCAAGAACCTAGCAATTCTACCCACTGGGAACTGTAGACCAGCCTTCTGAGACCTCGACACAGACTTCGAGGCCTTCGGCTTTCCTCGCCCACCCTTTGTTGAAGCCGCACCTGAACTCATCCCTCCGATATCTTTATCAAATCACGAAACCCTAAATGGAATTCAATTGAGAGAGAAAGGAGAGTGCGTGTGCTTGTATGATGAAAGTGTGTGTGGGGACATTTTGATTATATAGGGAGAGAGGAATTGTTTTGATTGGTGGAGAGCGGTATCACGAGGATGGCCAGCGTGGCAGTTGGATTTGTGTTTTTCTTTTCGCGGGAACTGTGAAAGGCTTTCTATTTTTTTTACAGCAATATTACATTGATCAAATTTTTAGATTAAATTTAGAGTACAAATGACATGTTAGTTGACATAGGCTTCTTTATTTAGTGGCATGTCATTTAGATCTCCATAAATACTTTAAATAATATGTTATCATATTATTTGGGCTCAATTACTTTTTTTTTATTCCTAGGCTCCGAGCGCTCGCGCTCTCGGCCTTTTGTCATTTTTTATTATTTCTTTCGTTCTTAAATATTTGTAGTTTAAGATTTTTATATAGAGATTAAGAAAATTATTAAATAGCTCTAATATGAGTAAAAGATAATTGCACAAAACTAAAATACTCTTATTCAATACGTATTGATAAAAAAAAAAATATGAAAAACACTTAGTCTACACTTAATCTATTAAATACTTATTAAAAAAATATAAATAAGAGTAAATTTTGAAGAAAAAATATTAATTATATTTTGGTTTTATTAAATGATAGATATTGTGAAACAAAAAAAATTGTGTAAAACGACAGATATTTAGGAATGAATAGANAAATATGAAAAACACTTAGTCTACACTTAATCTATTAAGCACTTATTGAAAAAATATAAATAAGGGTAAATTTTGAAGAAAAAATATTAATTATATTTTGGTTTTATTAAATGACAGATATTGTGAAACAAAAAAAATTGTGTAAAACGACAGATATTTAGGAATGAATAGAGTATTATTATTATGTAGTGTAAGAGTATCTTCAATCATTCTTTTTTTTTAACTATTTTATTTAATTAAACATAAAAAAAAAATTTCCAACCAATTCTCTATTTTTCATTTGACTTAAATGGTTCTCTAAATATGGAGAGTCATTTACCTTCTCTAAATTCTCTTTCTACCTCTTTCTCTCTATATATATCATATTTTTTTTTAAATTATTGAAAGTTAGGTGAAATAGTTAGCTAAAATAAAGAGTGTGATTAGAGTAANTAACTATTTTATTTAATTAAACATAAAAAATTTTTTCCAACCAATTCTCTATTTTTCATTTGACTCAAATGGTTCTCTAAATATGGAGAGTCATTTACCTTCTCT